CCCGGCGGAGGCGGCCCACCAGGACTCGGCCAGGGGCCCCCAGGCGCCTGAGGACACGGCTCACAGCCGGCTGCCTCTGCCCCACCCCGCGGCCCTGCTGCGGTCGACGGCCTTAGCCCGGCGTGCAGCCCTCAGTTCCTCCCCGGTGGGTTGCCACAGTTCCCGCGCCCGCCCGCACTGCGCGGTGCGGGAGGAATGGCGCAGCCAGGAGCCAGCCCAGGTACACCCGGTGAAAGCCCCCTGCACAGACCCCGAGGCTCCCCGCGGTGAGACCCGCAGTACCCCGGCCCTGCTGTTCGGAGCCCGAACCTTTAGTAAAGTGTGCTTCCCGTCTCCAGTCGACACTCCATACTTAGCGGCGATCAGTGTCAAACCTGTTATCCCTTATGTAGCCCCATAAAATCCGTGCTTCAAGGAGAGAGCGGCCTTGACTCCCATTGTGGACAGAACCTGAGTAAGTTGTACTTGAGGGCCTATTTACAGGGAGACCTGAAGCTTCTTCCATGTAAAAAAATATTTTTAAAACTACCTGGCCACGCCAGGCAGAGGCGGATAGATAGATCTCCGTGAGTTCGAGGCCAACCTAGTACACAGAGAAACCCTGTCCTGAAAACCCAAAACAAACAAACAAACCTACCTGGCCAGCATTTGGGAGACTGAAGCAGAGGTATCATTTTTCACCTTCATGAAACAGTATATTTTTAAAAAATATGTATTTGGGGGCTGGAGAGATGGCTCAGAGGCTAAGAGCATTGCCTGCTCTTCCAAAGGTCCTGAGTTCAATTCCCAGCAACCACATGGTGGCTCACAACCATCTGTAATGGGGTCTGGTGCCCTCTTCTGGCCTGCAGGCATACACACAGACAGAACATGTATACATAATAAATAAATACATATTTTTAAAAAAAATATGTATTTATTTTATTTTATTGTTTGAATGTTTTGCATGTATGTATATATGTGTACCATGCACACCCCGTGCCGACAGAGTTCAGCAGCGGGCATCAGATTCCCTGGAACTGAAGTTAGATACAGTGTGAGCAGCCATGTGAGTGCTGGGGATCAAACCTGCTTCTCTGCAAGAACAAGTGTTCTTTACTGCTGAGCCTTCCCTCCGGCCCACGAAAAAGCATTTTTTGCTATCACTAAGTCTGTGGCAGCGGCTTGCTTCACAATGTATACAGCTGAACACAAGTACTTCGCAGTTGCCATAGACATAGATATGACCACACGACTCTCCCTTGGGAGTCGGCTTCTGGATCTTGGGGTGGGTGGAAAGAGGCCGGGAAACCCCAGCACAAATTATACACCACAAGAGCGTGACTGTCCTCTGCGGGTCCCCTGCGCTCTGCTCTGTCTCCCTTCAGTGTTCTTGCCAGAATCTTCTGCCACACAGCCTTGCCGTTTTCCAAGAGAGTTCTTGTGACTGCTCTCTGGGCCCCAGCTAGCCTCTTCAGCCCAACCACACCGATGGAGGGACTGTCCCTCTTCTTCCAGTTTGTGACTTCTTTTCTTGGGGTTTTGTTTGTTTTTTAATACCTTGTTTTCCTCTGGTCCCCACCAGATTATTTTTTTATTCTGTGTGTAATGTTGTTTTGCTTGTATGCATGTCTGTGTACCATGTGCATACAGTGCCCTTAAAGGTTAGGAAAGTCGGGCTGGAGAGATGGCTCAGCGCTTAAGAGCCTGTTCTTCCAAAGGTCCTGAGTTCAATTCCCAGCAACCACATGGTGGTTCACAACCATCTGT